CAGCGCTCGGCGCGGCAGCGGGGACGGGATGCGACGGCGACGACGCACAGCAGCGGCGCGGGGCGCGAGACGGCAGGCTCGCGTCGCGGTCGACGGGACGGGCGAGCGGCGTGCGGGCGCGAGGCGCGAGGCGACGCGACGGCGGCGCGGCGCGGCAGCGGCAATGGTGACGGCGCGCGGTGCGGCGGCGGCGACAAGACGCGACGGCGATGGCGCGACGGCGACGGCGGTGCGGTGGCACGGGGCTCGGGGCGGCCGGGTGCGCGGCGCGCGGCGACGGGACAGAGGGGGCCGGGCTAGGGGACCACATCAAACACCTAGGGGCTAATGAATAGTGTATTTTTCTAATTAACCCGATTTTAGTGTATTTTCCATATAAATTTGATTCCACAATTCCTAATTTTTGCATATATGTATTTTACTCAATATTTGTGTTATCTTAACTAATGAATTCACCCTAAATTAATATTACTCATATTTTATTGGTATAATTTATTTGAATTTTTAATTAGGGTTAATTCTTGTTCCGACACTTTTAAATTTAATTAATACAAATATAATCGTAAGAATATTTTACTCATTTCTATCCTCACCAAATATTATTTTAAGTTGCACTTTAGTTATTTACTTAGTCAATTTACTTTTTAGGGTTTATTCCTAAGCATTTGGGTGACCGTATTAAGTGTTCAAATGTGAATTTGCCCAAAATTTAATATTGTCCAATATTTAAGGTTTATTAAAGATTCTATAATTTTCTAATGAGACCGTTATTAACACAATAGCACATTAGTTCAATTTATTTATATGTTAGTTTATATGGAGGGGTTTAATATATTAAATTTCAATCCCTAAATGCAATTAGGACTTGGTGTAATATCGATCTATATATCGAATTAAATACTCCCATAATTCTATTATATATACAGAGAGCTCAGTTTATTTGAATAATCATCATTTCATGTGTACTCATATTATGGCACCCACCTACATTATTCAAATATTTTAATATTTGATAAAATAGGTTAATAATAACTTTTATTTTATTTGATTTTAATATCTTGTGCATAATTATTTGTAGGATTAAATATATTCTCGTAAATCATATCTATTGCTTAAATGTAGTTCTTTTCTTTACTTTCTTGGTGATCATTTATGGTTTGGCAAGCAACAGGAATCATAACAACCAGCATGATGCAAAAGTTTTAAAAAGTTTTTGAAAATCCGTATTTTTAGAGTTTTGATTTTGTCGGTCGAATTTTCAGGGTGTTACAAACCTACCCCCCTTAAAGAAATCTCGTCCCCGAGATTTAGTGGGACTACGGAGACATTAAACTATTTTGGCTTAAATATTGTTCGACAAACAAACATGCAAATCAAAAGTAGGAAATCCCGGGTCTTCGTGGCTTCTGGATGTCATGAGTCGATGGGCGAAGCGAAGCGACACTCTTTGTACTTCCGCCGTCTTGGTCAGCAACGGACTTAGTTGACAATCTTGGGGCACATGATCCGTCTTTTCGCAGAGGAAGCACGTGATCTTCGTTGTTGGGCATTCTCCGTTTGGATGGTCTTCGTCACAGTAGGGGCATTGAGTAATGCAATTACTACTGTAGTGTCCTATCTCTCCGCAACGACTACATGCCTTAATCTTCGAAACTTCTTTGGATGGGTCTGGAACTCTATCCTCTTCCGGGCCGATCTGTGAGGGCAGTGTTTCTTGTTCTTCATTGGTGTCTTGAGTACAGCCTATCGCATAATGTCCAAATTGTCCACAAGAAAAACAACAGCCATCTCTCTTTCATTGCCATAGTTGTAGTTCTTCAACTTCTTCAGGCAAATCACCGATTTCTATTCCCATTTTACTGAGGTCAAGTTCAGCATATGTTATTAGTGATGACGCTTTTCTTTTCCGTTTTCGATTCCAGGTTGGTTTGGACCTTGTATGAGGATAGTGAGAAGAATGTACTTTCGTTTCTGACATATCCATGTTGGAAGATTATACATTGTGAGAAGGACTGGCCATGTGCTGTGCGAGCTGCTTAAGTCACCAAACGGGTTCATTCCATCAGTGCTCAACGCAAACCTTACATTCCTAGAATCCTTAGCAAATTCTGGGTGTTTTACATCAAATGTCTTCCACTGGCGAGCGTCGGCGGGATGTCGAATCATACCATCTATTTTCCGGCTCTCTTGATGCCATCTCATCAACTCAGCTTCAGTCGGGTTTGAGTACAGACGCTTCAGGCGGTCCTTAATTGGTAGGTACCACATCACCATTGAAGGAATCTTTCCGCGCTTACCCTTATCAGAATCTGGATCGGTACACTCTGAATCTACGGGCCCATTCCCCGTTTTATACCGACTTGTGCCACACGTTGGGCAAAATTCCAAGTCCGTATATTCTTTACGGTATAATATGCAGTGATTCTTACAAGCATGAATCTTTTCTACACCAAGAGATAAAGGACATATGAGTTTCTTCGCTTGATACGTGTTTGATAGTACAAAGTTAGGCTTAGGAAGCAACACACACAACAAACTCATCAGATCATTAAAACTTGTGTCCGACCATCCATGTTTAGCCTTCAATCTCAGAAGTTCAAGCACTGAACGCAAGACTGTGAAATCCTTATCACATCCCTTCGTTTCATCGTAAAGAAGATCCTTCGATGCCTTCTCTAATGCCTGCCAATTCTCCAATCCTCGTGACCTGCCCGCTAGCACCTCTGGTTCGACATGGCGTAGCATATCCTCTAAATCAAAACCACCATCGAAATCATCACTATCGGTGGAAACATCGACATCCATTCTTTCACGCGACATGTCTTCGATTATAAAATTCTCTGCCTCATTCATCTCGAAACTTAACTCTTCATCGTCATCTTCCGGATTGGCGAATTCCCCGTGATAGGTCCAAACCTTGTAGTTATCGGTGAATCCGTACTCCATTATGTGACCCAATATTTCACCAGGATCTACCAACAATTTCTGATTCTTGCAATGACGGCACGGACAAAAGATCTTTGTCATATTCTCCCTCAAAGCATGTGCCTTAGCCTGATCAATAAATTTAGATGCTTCCTTAATAAATATCGGCTGCGTTCTCCACATCTCATACATCCATGACGACCGATCCATCTAATTATATAAATGCAAAAAAGTTACAGATAAAAAAATAGACCGCAGGTATTTCATACAAAAGTTTAAATGCATTTGTCTCCAAAAAAAAATTACAACAATACTCCCTCCATACTCATAAAGGAAGTCGTTTAGGACAATGTTTAAGTCAAACCTTGGGAATATAAATCATGAATAACTCTCAAGTTGTTGAGTTTGAATATGAAATAATTATATGAATAGATTTGTCTTGAAAAATACTTTCATAAAAGTATACATATATCACTTTTCAATGAATATTTTTATAGAAACAAGAAGTCAAAGTTGTATTTTGGAGACCGCGTCGATGTCCCAAACGACTTCCTTTGTGAGTATGGAGGGAGTACATGTAACTAGTATGTACAAGTGATTACATGCAAAATTTGCCCATCAAAACATATATTTTGAAGCTAGATTTTGCAAAAACTAGTTAGAACAAACCTTGTCAAAATATTAAAAAAACTCCACTTTCCACCAACGAAATATAACAAAAATGGAGCCAAATGAAGGAGGATAGAGAGTTCTTCACCTTTCGTATAGAGTTCAAGCAAAAATTTCGAGTTGAAAACCTCCCCCCCTAATTGGTGCTTGCTTTAGGAGAGAGAGAGCTTCGTTTTCAAATGGTCAAGCTCGGGCCTGGAGGAGCATATATGGCCGATCATCGCATGCGGTCCCTTAAGCCAGCCGCATGCGAAGATCCATTATCGCATGCGGCTGCTTAGGACAGCCGCATGCAACAATGGGCCTATTTTCGCATGCGGCCGTCTTAAGGAGCCGCATGCCCTAATACATGCGGCCCCTTAAGACGGCCGCATGCGAAAATAGACCTATTATCGCATGCGGCCGTCTTAAGCAGCCGCATGCGATAATGGATCTTCGCATGCGGCTAATCGACCCGCCCCCGGGGGGGCGGTTTTTGCAGGCGCCGCCACAAGCGGCCCACATGGAACCTACCGACCCCCTCGTACAGAAAAACGATTTTTGTAGTAGTGTACTATAAGGTTTCTGAGGATGTACGACCAAATTGTACCAGCAGTATCAAATTTCTCTCTCTAAAAAATTGTCATAGTCTCAGCTGTTTAGTAACTGCTAATCATGAAAGGGAGGAAATGGCATGTGATAATGCGTCACCGTCATACCGTGGACGACCCGATTAACCTTTCCTCTTTCTCCTGCCGGTCAGAAAACCTAAATTCTCTTCTTCTTCTTCGTCTAAGTCTACTCGATCCATGCATCATCCTCTTCAATCGTACTTTGATTTCAGTGGCTTATATGAAACCACGTATGATCATCATCGCCTCCCCACTCACCTCTCTAAATAATTGTTAATTGATCGAGTCCCATTAATTACTACTCCCTCTGATTTTAAACATAAGTCGATTTAACCTTCTTAACTATTTCTTAAAAGCAAGCTGTTTGGAACTTGTATGTACTTTAACTTTCATAATTCTTTTCCATGCTCACCCTTCTATAACTTCACACAAACAACGGTTCACCTTTTCTAATTCAGTACTCCCCCGTCCTATTTTAAGTGCAGTTTTGGGTTTCTGTATTCAACACTTAACCGTCCGTCCTATTTGAAAATTTGAAAAAAAATATTCAAAAATAGGTCACACATAAATTATTATTCACGTTTTATCATCTAACAACAATAAAAATACTAATCATAAAAAAATAAATAAGATGGACGATCAAACGTTACATACGAAAACTCACAACTGCACTTACAATGGGATGGATGGAGTACAAATGAAGGACAACAAAGTCATTTGAACCGCGTCCACGAGTCTAAATCAACATATATTCATTTGTAATTAGGGAGAATATAATCGTCCAAATATTTTCCTATAGCTACTTGCCCACCACACCAGATAGGCGAGCACTAGGATAGATACTCAATTGCTCACCACTAGCTACCTGCATAGCTAGCCCAACCTCCTCTAGCTCTTCCATTGCTAGCTATTAGCTCGAAATTCTAGCGAGAGAAAAAAAACCCAAATCAACAAGAACAATCCAATATATATACATATATAGACAGATATATATACATATCGTATTAGCCACTTGATTGCTAATTACCGAAGCTAAGCTCGTATATATGGCAGATCACCAGGAGATGATCCACGCCGCGGCGGCGCCGGCCATGTACGGCGGCGGCGCGGCAGCGGGTGGTGCTACGACGACGACGGGGAGCCACGGCGGCGGCGGCGGCGACTGGTGGAGCGCCGCGGTGTCGTCGTGCTCGGCGCCGGCGCCGGAGACGATGCAAGGGTTCGGCGGCTGGTCGGCCGCGGTGGTGGCCGTCGACGGCGGTGGCAACACGTCGAGGTCAGCTGCTGGTAACACTGCTTCGTCGGAGTCGCCTGGATCGCTCGCCACCGGAAGCTCCATCACTTTCCAGGAGCCCGCCGGCGGCGTCGCCGACCCGGCCGCCATCGCCGTGCACGCGCAGACGGTGGCCGGCGGCGGCGGCGGCGGCTGGAATCAGCAGCCTTTCTTGTGAGCTCTAGCTATATGACTCATGATCATATGTGTATGCATGATGAATTGATAATACACATATAATCAACCAAAGCATATATATAGATTTCATATATACTCTACATGCTTAATTAGTTGCTCATGATCTTAGTGAGATTGATTTATTTATTCATGCATGTTAAGTTGGTGAATAATTATCAGTGGAATGATTTAATTATATGCATATATGTGTGATTTCTGATCAAGGGATGGGAGTGGTTTCCATGGCTACATGAGCTCATCAAGAAATGATCACCATACCAATCATCATCATCATCAGATCAACACGCCGAGTTTGATGAGCAACTCATCATCAAATAACGGCGTGATGCTGCAAGAGCACCAACATGACCAGAATTACCAGTTCCTCTCCAACCTCGGCTTCGAGCTGCTCTCGTCGCCGACCTCGCCGTACGGCGGCGGTGGCGGCTTCCGCTCCTCGCTGCTCAGAAGCCTCACGGAGCCGGCGGCGGCAGCGAAGCCTAATGACTCGCCGGGGTTTCAGCAGTATCATCATCATCAGCCGGCGATGAACCTGCAGCCGCCGGCCGCCGCCGCCGGGAGAGAGCCACTGCAGTTCACCAACAGCACGGCGGCGCCGTTTTGGAACCCTTCCTCCAGGTTCACCGTCGCGGCGGAGGGTACAGCACTAGGTGGTGCCGGAGCATCGCCGGCGCAGCCTACGCCGGCGAGCCTTGCAGCTAAGGTTAATTGGCACACACTTGTACGTATATGGACATAGTTGATAGTTAATTGTGCGCCTATACTAACTAAAAGTAATTAACACAATATCACAATTAGCCACACCTCTTATATAGTATGAGTTGTTATTGGACATAAGTGAATTGTGCATATTTACTCATCAGCTTAATATTTTGGGTTAAACTAATTAGTAGTATAATCTTATGCTTAGCTGCGGGATATGTGAATATGAATATATGTTATATATTATAGAAATTATAGATGTATATATTTAAATAATGTAAAAATAATGTGGAGATAATGATTTGACATTGTTTAAATATTAAGTTTGGTGCATGCATGCAACTGATCAATAGTTCACATTTGTTTATTTTTTTGTGTTAATATGTGTAGAGGGCATTAGAAGGAGTAGGAGACTCCAGCTCAATCATCACGAAGAAGGCGAAGGCTGATTCCACGCCACTAAAGAAATCCAGAACCGGGACGCCATCGCCATTGCCGACGACCTTCAAGGCATGTGTCTACATATATATAATATTTAATTTGTCCCAAATGGTGATTGATTTCCTTCCAATAAAGTTCCATGTATGTATGAGTGAGCTGTTACAAATCATGAGAGAAGTAAACCGTTAGAGATCATAAAGTTCCACCTTAATTAGTTCAGTCAAACTGTTAATTAGATGTATTAATGTACATATTGAATTTCACATAAATTATATATGTTTCAGGTGAGGAAAGAGAAGCTAGGGGACAGGGTCACAGCACTCCAACAACTAGTCTCCCCTTTTGGAAAGGTGAGTGCACCATATATATAGTTCTTGAAATTAAGAATCTTATTAAGATCGATCAAACATGCAACTCTGATCGATCCCTTTACAACAACAACAACAACAAAAAAAAATGATGGATCAACCTCGGCGTGCGTGCGTGCAGACGGACACGGCATCGGTGCTCCACGAGACAATCGAGTACATCAAGTTCCTGCACGATCAAGTTGGTGTAAGTGCGCCATCTAGCGGCAATATTTTGTTCTACCCTTCCCCTTTTAATCATATACATGTAGAAATTAACAACATTGGTCCATGTTCTGATCCAAGTATCCAGTGCAACACCTAGCTAGCTACTGCCTTAATTATTGCACTAATTAATATTTCTTTAAAACATTTCTTCTTGCATAAATGCTCTCTGCTTATATATATATATGTATATATAATTTCCTCAAACATATTCTTCAAACATGTAGTGCACGCATACATTCTGCTTTGCACTATAATATATTCAAACATTGTTCATATATATATAGTGTACTCATGTATGTGTTATGTGTATTCATATATGCAGGCACTTAGTGCTCCTTACCTAAAGAACAGGCAACAAGTGCCCCACTTGAAGGTACTATATATATACAAGCTAAACCATGCAGTGCTAGCTCACATATACTACACACAATATAATGCTTTTCTCTTCTTCTTTTCACACACATATTGCTATATATCGTCATTGTTTGATCATCAAGTACGTATTGCATATATTATCGATGCATGAGGGTATATACCCGCATAAAAACATGCAAGCTTGTTAGTGTAGTTCATTCCAACTTTTGCTAGTACAAATTTTGGAAGAAAAAAATAACTAGATTTGAATAAGCAGGCAAAGAAACCCTGCTTGCTTGCCCGGTCAACTTACATCGATCCCTAGCATATATATACATTATTCATGTTAATTTAATTACTTTACATGCTTCCTTTAATCAATCTCATTTTTTCAATTATGCTTATGCTTATCAGTTAAAACTTGAATTTTCAAACTTAAATTTGGAGTTAATTAATTTTGCCATTTTTCTCGTTATAGTCTATTTTCCAGTGTTTGCTTTTAAATCGTTAAGAACACATATATAAAATTTTTATTTATAAATTATTTTTCATTTGTAAATATGCCGTTTTCATTTCTTCCTCCAATATGCCAAACTATGGAGCTGAATATTTCAGAACTCCGGTGACAATATTTACTGTACATGCTTTTAATTTTTTTCTTCAGTTCACGCATATATATTGCTATATATCGTACGTCGTCGTTTGATCATCAAGCTTGAACGTATATAGTGCACATATGCTCACTATATACATGCTAATTAATTCGTTGATTAATATTATCTCAGAACTCCACCGGCGTCGACAACGATGGCGGCGGCGGCGGCGGCGAGGCGACGGCGGCTAGCAAGAGAGACCTCACCGGAAGAGGGCTGTGCCTGGTCCCGATATCGAGCACCTTCGCCGTCGCCAGCGAGACGCCGGTCGATTTCTGGACGCCGTTCGGTGCAGCCTTCCGGTAGCTCGATCGATCGCTAATTAACTACTACTACTACCACCAAGCTACTTGCTCTGTTTCACAGTCCTCTGTTTCATAATATAAGTCATTCTAACATTTTTCATATTCATATTGATATTAATGAATCTAGATAGATATATATGTCTAGATTCATTAGCATCAATATAAATGTGAGAAATTTTAGAATGACTTACATTGTAAAACGGAGGGAGTAGCTAGCTAGCTGAGATCAGCCAGAGCTCAGCTTAATTAACAACTAGTAATTAACTAGAAATGCTTCACACAAAAAGCTAGCTATATATCTAGCTAGATTGCTAATTAAGTTATATGCTCACACCCATATACATGATGGCAATATATAGCTAGCAACAGCTCCTACTGTTGCATATATATAGCAGATACACACATTGCATACCCTAATTAATTATTAACCGATCGCAACTAATAGTACTGAACTAATCAAAATAGTACTACTAGCTAGTACTAGTAAGAATGAATGCGTATAATATATGCTGTAACTGAATTAGGTATATATATATATATATATATATATATATATATATATATATATATATATATATATATATATATATACTCTCAGAAAAAAAAAGAGAAAAGAATTAGGTATATATATAGATGAATCGCTGGAATGGGTGCGTGAAGATTGGATTCATTCTTGAGGTTCATCGATAAGAGAATAAGGGGATCAGATAATATACTGACTGCAGCATGCAGAGTCTTTATGTATAACTGATCAGGCATAATTAACCATAAATGTATGTTGTAATATATATAATTGGTGGGGTATATATATAGACATGTTGAGTACATAACTACATATGTAATAAGTCAGGAGTAGTAACTGATATGATTAACTTGTCAAAGTGTTGACATTTTCATCTCATCATCATTTTTTGTTTAAGAAATCGGTTTCTCTAAAGAGAACATATATATCAAGTTTATATAGCAGTTCCAAATATAAAAAAAGCACCACATATTAGCAGGGGTTCAATATTTCGTATCCCAATTTCCGAAATTTCAGGTCTATCAGTTCTTCGATATTATGTCGGCTCAAATATTGCAAATTTCTTTCAAACTCAATCAGAGTATATATGTTCAAATTTCAACTTATTTCAGCCCAAGATCCCCCCCCCCAAAATTTTTTTTCCCGTAATTTCGTTCCCCCAACCTGCCAAAAGAAATGTGCAAACCGATATATAGAACACACTGCAAAGTAGCAATTTTCTTCGTAATGTCTTTATATATGTTAACGCGCACATGTGTAATACGCAGGTGTGCTCGATAAGTTAGAATTGGGGCCTATATCATATACTTTCTCAAATTGAGGTGCTCATTTTTATGAGTTGACAATTTAGCTACAGCTTGATATCCATTTCCACAAATCCGTTATGATCAGTTGATAGTTCAACTCACAGGCACACCAACCAATGATGGTTGGCCTTAGGGGTGGAAAAAAAATCTCGGGTTTGGCTCGAGCTCGCTTAGCTCGGCTCGGCTCGATTGCCAAACGAGCCAAGCCCAAGCTTTCTTTTCAGCTCGTTACTGAAATGAGCCGAGCCCAAGCTAGCTCGTGAGCCGCTTGTTTGGCTTGTGAGCCTAGGCCATTACGTACTTATATGGATTAATTTATTTTCTAGTGGAGTTATTATTGGTTAATATGCAATTTATCATCTAGATTTTGATGAATTGAATATGTAAAGTTATTTTAATTTTGCATGTCAATGATTTGTTCTTGCGTTTCTTAATGATTACAAACTATATATATGAAGAGGTGCTTCAACGGGAAGGCTCGCAAGCCAGCTCGATCTGGCTCGAGACAGGAAACGAGCGGAGCCGAGCTCATGTTTTAGCTCGTTTCCCTAATCGAGCCGAGCCAAGCCAAGCCTATCTTGTTGCGAGCCGTTGCAAGCCGAGCCGAGCCAGGAAAATGGAGCACCCTGTACTACCGGATGAAGGAAGAAATCTTTTGTGATACTATGGCTTATTCTTTTATGATTAAGATGCAAATTTTTACCTCGGTTTCCGTTAGTGCGTTTTTCAAACTACTAAACGGTGTATTTTTTTAAAAAAAACTTTCTATATAGAATTACTTTTAAAATATCAAATAAATACATTTTTCAAGTTAGTAATAATTAAAACTTAATTAATCATGTGCTAATTACCTTTTCGTTTTGCATGTCCTAACTTCATGTTAATCTTAATCTATGTGCTAAGGTTCGAGCGCTTCAACTATATTTTCTCATGAAGCAATGAGTTAAGCTATATATGTAACTAGCACAAAAGGTACACATATCTCTTCAATAAAAAAAAGTCCTCAAGTTCCAACTTCTCAAAACACGAGTTGTTTGATTTGGACGGTGGTGAACAATAATTATCTGGCATAAATTTAATACACTAATTGCTATAAATTTAATATATATAAATTGATTCTAATTAATCCCCTACTGAAGCGAGCATAGACTCTTGCGTCGCCCTCCCCCGGGGCTACTCGGGAGGCGATGAGCTCCGGCTGCCCCCTCTCCCCCACCTTCCTCCTCCGCCTCGCCGCCGCTTGAGCGGCCACCGGCAAAGCTGCGCGGCCGCAAGGACGGCGGCGGCGGGGCTCTTTGCTTCCCGCCGGCGGGGGCGGCCAGAGGAGCCACCCAGGGCAACGGCGGTGAAGGCCACCAGACCTGCGTCTGGCTGCGGGATAGTGACGGCGGGCCGGATCCGGCTGCGCCGGAGGCGGATCCGGCCCCTTCGGAGGCGGATCTGGCCCCCTAGCGGCCAGATCGGGCGGGGCAACCTCAAGGCAGTGGCGGCGACGGCGTCGGCAACAACAGGGCTCGCTCGCGGTGGCAAGGGCGGCGACAGCGGGTGGCCGGCGTCGGCGTGGCCGGTTGGCAGTAGTGGCGGTTGAGGCGCGTCGGGCCGGAGGCAGAAGCGGCAGGAGGCGTGGCCGACCGGCAAGAGCAGAGGCTGGAGGTGCGGCCAGCAGCGGCGGCGACCGGTGGTCCTAGCATCTCGCGAGGTGCCGCCGTCGCCGCGGCAGCCTCCGCAGCAGCTGAGGGCAGCCGGAGATGGCCAGGAGCAGAGGTAGACCCTCGTCGTCGTCTGGCCATGGTGGATGGCAGCAGACTTGAGGAGGACAGTGGGATGTCTCCTTTGACGTTGACCAGGCAACCCCCTCTCTCTGTGGACGTCCTCCCCTCCTCTGTGGGGAGCTCCATTGGAGGATGGAGGTAGTGGCTTGACGGCAAGGGATGGCTTAGGCCACCAAAGCGGTGTGGCCGACCTCCTGGCTCTCCTTGTCCGGATTCGGCAACGAGGCTGGTGGGTGGTAGAGCGGAGGAGACCTAAGACAACGCATAGGGAAATGGTGGCGGGGTAGAGAACGCTGGCGGCGGGCAGAGCCGTATCCCTTGATGTCGATCGAGTGCACTCTCTGCTCGTGGAGCATCTCCCCTTCTTTGTGGGACGTTACATAGGTAGGTGGGGGTAACGGTATGTCAACAGGGGAAGGCTTGGGCTGCCGAAGAAACATCGTCCATTTCCGGGCTTCCTTTGCCGGATTCAGAAAGGAGGTCGATGGACAGCGGGGTGGAGGTAGCCCAGCAGCCCAGCTCAGCGTTGCGAGGGAGTGGCAGCGGGTAGAGGGCGATGGCAGCGGGGTGAAGTGGAAGTCTTGCGGCGGCAGGACTGGAAGTCGGTCGGCGGTGGGGCGTTGGACCGGTGCGGTGGAGGCCACACGCTACCGATGTTTGGCTGGAGGTAACAGAGTTGGCGGGCGACGGACCACAGCGACGGGGCGAAGAGGGTCTCAGGCGAAAGCCTAGCCTAGTTCTTCATTGGGCCGGCAGCTGCTACGCCTTTGGGCATAGTAACCCTCTTGGGGGCGTTGTCAAGGAACCCTCCTCCCTCGACGAGGATCTCTAGGTGAAAACCATGTCCAATTTCTGGGCGGACAACGATGGCGTCTTTTGGTGTCGCAACCTTCATGAATGCGTTATTTTTGGAGTATCCTTTCCGTGGTGTTGTTGTATACCCGACGGCTACCGGTCTCGCATAGCGGTGGCCGGTTTGCCATTCGGCTCTCCTCTCTGTAGCTAGTGTCTGTGTGGTTGGCGTGTGGTGTCGGGACATGTGCTTTGGTGCATACCCTTCCTCGATAGCTCGCTGTCGATGAAAAACTTTCTTGTTAACTTTTTTCCACCATCTTAATTATATTTGATGACCTCCTTCGGTCATCCTGACAAAAAAAAATCCCCTACTAGAAGGGACGTCCACGAGTGTCCATGCATCTCTCAAATAAAATGCAGATGAACGAAAAAAATCCAACTAGCTTCTTTTTAACAGCAAAGTACGAAATTTCAAGTCTAAACTTGATACACATAGCCAAAAAAAAAAGGGAATGAATTGGTTGCAAATCATATGCAGGTAGGATATAAGCTGGTTTAATTAATTTCCAATGAGAAATGACATCGTTGCAACATGCAAATGGTTCGGGGACTTGGAATATCCACACGCCGCATATATGGAAAAACGAATTGCACGCAGTACTGAAATTTACACACAGACACACGCATGCTAAATATTTTTTTCATCAAATTCCTACAAGAATTAATTTGTTATACACTGTAACTATAATAAGGGGTAGAACAATATTTATAACGGGGAAAAAGTACACCGAAAGTCCCTCAACTTGCCATCGAGTTACAAAATGGTCCCCGAACCACAAAAGTCGTCCCCGAACCACAAAACCAGATATATGATATCCCTCAACTTGCAAAACCATTTACTTTAGATCCTTCGGTGGTTTTGTGTCTGGTTTTCATTGACGTGGCAGCTGAGTCAGCGTGGGACCCACTTGTCATAGTGACCACATCATCACTCTTTCTCAATCCAATCTCCTCTCCCTTCTTCCTCTCTCTCATTTTTCTCCTCCGTTTGGGCAAGCCGGCCGGCTACGAGCAACGCGGCGGCGACGACGATGACGTGGGAGCAGGAGGGCCGCCTCCGACGCCACTGCCACCTCCGCGACCATGGATGACGACGTTCGAACGGCAGCGGCGAGCAGCACGGGGCGACGGTCTCGTCGCTGGCGCCCGAGGCGCCGTCCTCGCAGAGCACGAAAGAAGACAAGCCGACAGGGAGCACGACGGGGAGAGCGAGGAGGTCCGTCGTCATACATGGCCGCAGATCTGGTGCCTGTGCCATTGGCAACGGCGGTGACGGCTGTGTGGGGGCGGCCCTCCTGTTCCCACATCGTCACCGTGTCGCCCGTCGCCGGCCGGCTTGCCGAGACGGAGAAGAAAAATGAGAGAAAGGAGGAAGGGAGAGGAGAGGGGAAAGAGAAAGAGTGATGAGTTGATCACTATGACAAGTGGGTCCCACGCTGACTCAACTGCCACGTCAGAGAAACCAGGCACAAAACCACCGAAGGACCTAAAGTGAATGGTTTTACAAGTTGAGGGATGTTTCTATATCTGGTTTTATGGTTCGGGGACGATTTTGTAACTCGATGACAAGTTGAGGGACTTCGGTGTACTTTTTCATTTATAGCGAGCATTGCATATTGAATGGGCAACGATTTTGCTATATCTCACTCGAAAGATTTTTTTTCTTATCTCTTACTCGATTTTCTTACTTAAATTTATAGTGTATTTTCCTGTAAGTTACAGTGTAGTTTATAAAACTTACATTATAAATTTTGTAAGTTACAGTGTAATTTTTGAATCTCCGTATGTAAGTTTTAAAATTTATATTGGATTTGATCTTTTTCTTGAAGATATGGTAATTTAGTGTCTATTATGGTGTTTCTTAGTTGCTTTTTGTCTTTTACTGTGTATATTGAATTTTAATCCAAAGATTAAAAATCTGTGTGACATGAACATAAAAATCTTTCGAAAGATGCATAGATACTCCCAATGGGCAATTGCATCACACATGTTAGGCCCCCACCAATATCAGAGCCCAATGGGCTAGAGGCCCATCATTCTTTGCCCTATTCATGGGCTGCCCAGAGTTGTTCTCCTTTGTTTGGACTGACAAAAGTAGCAAAAAAAATGTCGTAATGTGATACACCTCAGCATTGGTTACCTTAGCTTTTGGATCATCTAGCTCTAACTAATCCTAACAGAAGATGTGATTGGCATGGAGAGGTTGAGTAGAGCCTGTCACAGCACGACATTACCATCCATGGCAACTTGTATCCAACAAACTATTAGGCAATCTTGCTGGCAACCATCCATGAAACAAACAGTTTCATGGACAAAAAATATATATACTTCAACACCATTCGCATGCGCATCACTTATTCTTGTCAAAGTGCTGATGATTTCATCACTGAAACCGTTAACTTCAGATTGCAATTTCCTGACAGAGAAAGGTTTCGCCTAAGCTTTCTTGATATGAGCACTTGGGGTACAGATACAATACAATGAGTCAATGAACATATCAGAGCCAATCAGGCCAAGATGCCATTCAGACAGATACAGAGCTACTCTTTGCTCACCACAAATATTTGCTCTCTCTCACTATTTTTGAGCTACCACTTGGTTCAATAGATATGAAAATGAAATACCTTATCAAAGCTACTATACATATATAGTTTAGATAATTTCTAGCGCGCTTCCACCGATGCAATGCTCATGTCATTCACAAAGCTTTCGCCTGCTCCATCAGCTCCATAACTCCTGTGTGCAAAGTACATAGGCTCTTTGGGCTCTGGGAGCTCGATGTCTTTGTTATCCAAGCTCGAAACCACCCACGACATGAGTGGCCGAGCATTCGGGTTGTTTTGTATCGACAAGAGCGCTATATGGATGCATCTTAGAGCTTCATTGAGTGAAGAACTCTCCGAGATCGAGGCGTCAACAAAAGTACTCATGTTCCCGTTCTTCCATAAGCTCCATGCCTAAATCAGTTGATCATCCCATATTAAGGGTGAATCGTTAGTTAAGTTTTGAATACTTCAAACCACTTACATAGGCTATGAGGTTGGAATGGCCCGTGGTTGGGTCTATGATTCCGCTGATCTTCAAGCCACTCACAATCTCCAGGAGTAGCACACCGAAGCTATAGACGTCTGATTTGACGGATATTATGCCTTCCAGTGCATATTCAGGCGCCATGTAGCCACTACATTGACAATTCACCACACGGGGCACACACAACTTAAATCTCGAAGTAGAAAGAAAAAATATATATATCTGAAGTGTGGAGGTACTCACTATGTTCCAACCACTCTGTTGGTATTTGATTGTTGTTCGTTCCCACCAAAGATCCTGGCTGTACCAAAATCAGATATCTTGGGGTGCATATCAGCATCCAACAATACATTGCTTGCTTTAAGATCTCTATGAATTATTGTCAGTCTTGAGTCCTGGTGGAGATAAAGAATGCCTCGAGCAACACCTTTTATTATCTTGAACCTTGTTGTCCAGTCAAGCGCTGAATTTCTTGAAGCATCTGTCAATGATAGAATCACATGTGCATTATCAATACACCCACATTCATTCCACTAAAAATTGGGCATTTGCAATAGGTGGCCAGAACATACTGAAAAGGAAGGCATCCAAGCTTTTGTTAGGTAGGTATTCATAAACTAATAGTTTTTCATCTCCATGAATGCAGCAACCAAGAAGTTTAACTAAGTTTCTGTGTTGCAACTTGGCAATCAGAAGTACTTCGTTTTTGAATTCCACTACACCTTGTGCAGAACCTTTACTGAGCCTTTTGACAGCAATTTCCTTATCACCATCCATTGTTCCCTGAAAAATTGAATAAATCTCAAACCAAACGAGTTATAAATTCCATTAAATTTCTAGTGCTGAGATTAATCTGTGCCGGCCTCATTACCTTGTAAACAGTGCCAAATCCTCCATGACCAAGTATGTTGGAATCAGAGAAATTATTTGTCGCGGAAGCAATTTCTCTGAAGCTAAAAATTGGAAAATCTACTTTTCTATCAGAGAGCTCACGGGAGGTGCTAATATCTCCCAGCATCAGTCCACCGTAGATCTCATCGCCCCTTTGTTTACCTGAAAGGAATGTAGGTGCCACTAATTTGTTTGGAGTTAGGGACAAATCAAAATGACAACACTTATTCGTATGTACCTCGAACGCCGCAGATCCAAATAAGCATGCATATCAGTATCAGCAAACTTGCCACAGCTGGTAGTACAAATTCTAGGATATCGGTTGTTTTCCTGTTACCTGTATACGATTCATAGAGAACCATCCATCTCACACAACACATATAAGGTAGAGTAATTAATGTTCATACTACCTCTCTGATTTTTTTCGTCTAATTGTTTAAAAAAGACGGCCATATTGATTCCTCTTTCCCCACTATCAAAAGGCCCCTCTCACTAGGGCTCGGAAGAATTGAAAAATGTCTGTATGAAGGTAAGCAGTTAGCAGATGAAGAGAAGCAAGAACTCATACCGTTTAATCTGTTAGCTCGAATATAGAGGTTCTCCCCTCCTTGGGTAACCTTCTCCATGTCGATGAGCTCCCCCGTCCACAATAGGCACCTCGTGTCATCAATAATCCCGCTGCTAATGTTGGAGTAAGCATATGCCACACAGGAGCAGTTGCTCCTGCATTCCACCATGCACTCGTCAAAGCTTCTTTTGTGAATGTAGATGAAGTTGTCAGGGACCTTCATGCTCGGATAAGTCAAGAAACTGTTCCCATGGTGACATCTTAGGGCCTTCCTGCGGCGGCATCCCAGCAAAAAGCTTCTGTTGTTGGTCCGCCTTTCCTCCTCCCTTGGCTCAAACCCATCAAGGCACTTGCATGCTGGGACAGCATCTGTGTTGTCGCAGTAACTGTTGGGACCGCAATAGCCGTAGATATTGCAGTCATGCACAGGCTCCGAGTACAGGGTTGTCCATGCTGAGATGTTGCTCTGCCAACCTAACATATTTACCTTGCCTAGGTAGGTTATTTTCATCCTGATCAGCACACTGAAGGGGCCAGTTGGCATGCCAAAGGACATGTACACCTCATCGCTGTCATGGTTTATCGCCATGTAAATCGTGGAATTGAGGTTGTTCATGTATTTACCAATGAGGAGGTAGTTGTTCCACACAGGGCTTCGCCGGTGCGGCACCGAGCCATGCCAGATGAAGCGCTGAAGCAGGTTGTTGGGGTCTGCACCGTAGGAGAAGGGACCAGGGGATGGGTCTCGTATGTCTTTCCAAGAAATGAGGCGCTGCAGTGGGTGTGTATTGTGGCTGAGCCTGAGGTTCATGCCAGGCAGGAGAGTGTCGGTCGGGTGGTCGAAGCTCTGCCATATGATGGCATTGTCAGCCAATGACCGGAGAATGAGGTTTCCGGTGTTGTCTAGCATGGCTTCTGTTGAGATGTTTTTGGTGTTTCGGGGGGAGCTGATGCTGATTCTGCTTTTGGCCATTGTCGTCCAAAGGACATGGCCATTGCCATCAGACAAGGTGAGGTTGGAGCTCCTGGTCAAGGTGAACACTGCAGATGAAGGAACAGTGATTGGCGCGGCACGGTTCGCTACCCACACAACGGTGAACTTGGGGATGTTATTGTACCATATGCCAACATAATAGTGTTTCTTGGGGTTGGATGGGGAGAAAAAACCCAGGGCAAATGTTCCATCATCAGAGATAATGGTGCTACCAGGAGAGATTGGCTTACCAGGGACAAGGCGGTTGTCGGATGCACAGAGATGAATTGAACTGAATATCCAATAAAGAAGAAAAATCATGGTAGAGGCATGAAGGGAACACATTGGCATTCTTGGTGCCCTGCTTGTAATGAAATGGGTTATGCAACCATGGATGCTAATGGGATATAGAAGCAATCAAAGGGTCAAGTTGCCTTAAAAGCCAGAACCAAGGAACAAAAGGGAAGTTAAGCTGTTCTAAAATTGGTACTGGCTCCTATTGTCAACTGTTTTCTGGAAATGATACTAATCATGATGTGACATTCTGAATGCTCTACTCATCCCCTCAATTTTAAGTTAAATGCAAAAAGAAAAATCATTTCAAGCAAAAAATTCACACCAGAAAGAAGACAAGTTATTCCTTGTAGCCTTGTAGGTCACTTAAAGTTTTTTAATACCACGGAATTAGGGAAATATCTGGAGGGAAAGGTCTTAACGTATTTTCTCTGAAAGTTAAAAAGATTCAGGTTTCGTAGTCAATAATTTCCAGGTTTCAGGTGGTAAGGTTCATTTAATCATCATTCCTAGTCAATAATTTCCAGATTTCCTTCTCTACTACATATTCACATGATGGAACTAAAGGTATATGAAGAGATTAAAACTTGTGTGTGTTAAGTAGAATCCAATTCAGATAAACTAACAAGTTTCTACTAGGCAACTTGTAGGAAATGAGAACAAGACAGGTTTCATTTAATAGCATATTAAATTTATAATATTTAATAGGCTAAACATCTGGTTTATTTTACAGCAAAGCAACTTACCCATGCGAAAGCCATCCAGGTTCAGATCCATCTTCGGTGCTAAGCTGGGAACAATTGACATATTTATATTTTAGCAAGTTCAGAAAAAGGTTAGAAAACTAGAATATGAACAATTGATATTATCCCCGCAAAAAAAAAGAACAATTGATATTATACTGCTGATGTAAGTTCTCTATTGGTCGAGAATTTGGGTTGTCCTGAACACACAAAAGCCCCAGATGGATACACCGTGAAATTTCATCAAGTGAGCAACTCCCTGAGATTGACGAGTCGACTAAATCCTTTGTGTTCTGATCTTTCCATGAACTCCATGCCTGAATAAATAAAAAAAAGGATATAATTCTTAAGGGTGTGTTTGGCAAATGGGATATGGGAGGTGGGATTAGAAAATGGAAATGGATGAATGGCTAGGATTAAATGAGGTGTGAAGAATGGATGGTTAGGATGCAATATTGCCCTTTAGAGGGTGAGATATTATTTCCCAATCCCATTTGCCAAACAAAGCCTAATTGCACAAAAGTTAAAATAAATTTTGAGACTTTGAACATTTTGCAGAACTTACGAAAGCTATGAGATTGAGAAAGTCTGTGATTCGGTGTGGATGGCTGATCTTTAAGCCAGAAACAATTTTCAAAAGTAACACACCGAAGCTAATATAGGACTTCACCGAACAAGTGCCTTCCAATGCATATTCAGGTGACATGTAACCACTGTTTGATGAATCATTTCCCAGAAAGAAACACAATTGATTTAGTTTTCAGTGAAGATTATTAAACTTAAGTACAATTTACGTATGAAATTACTCACTATGTTCCAACTAATCGGTTAGTATTTGCTTGTTGTTGGGCACTACCAAAAATCATTGCCATGCCAAAATCTGATACCTTGGGGCTCATGTCAGCATCCAGCAATTTGTTGCTAGCTTTGAGATCCCTGTGAACTACTGTTAATCTTGAATCTTGGTGGAGATAAAGAAGTCCTTTGGCTACTCCCTTTATTGTCTTAAACCTTGTTGGCCAATCAAGCATTGATTTTCTTGCATCTGCGTTTGAGAATTTTCTTGCATCATCTACCAAGGATAGAAATCAATAAAAAAAACATAATCAGCCATGCATGTTACTTAACTAATTATTTATTGAAAAGAATTTTATGCATTCCAAAAGGAGATGATTACGTAAGTTTAAAGAAATTAAGCAGTAAGTAGGTAACAAAGTGGGTGGTTTGCTTTAATAAAAGTTCTTTAGAATCTCTATAACTTTTTTACAGGAGTTTATTTTAGAGAAGACCTTATCGTCTGATCTATCTTTGCCATCATAATCACCAGAACATACTGAAACGGAAGGCATCTAAGCTTTTGTTGGGCAAGTATTCATAAATCAATATTTTTTCTTCTCCGCGAGTACAGCAACCAAGAAGCTTAACTAGGTTTCTGTGTTGCAACTTGGCAATTAGAATCACTTCATTCTGAACTCCTCTAATCCTTGGCCAGAACTCTTGCTTAGCCTTTTCACTGCAATCTCAGTACCACCTTCCAATGTTCCCTGCCAAGTTGCATATCATTTAAACAAATAAAATGGGCATAAGTTAATAGAGCAAGTATATCCTACAAACTTTCTACCAATATAAGAATTATCATTACCTTGTAAAAATTGCCAAAACCTCCTCGCCCGAGAATATTGGAATCAGCAAAATATTGGGTTGCAACAGTAATTTCTCTAAAGCTTATAACAGGAAATTCTACCTTTGTTTCCCCCAAGTCCTTCTGAAACACTCAAAGCTCTTTGCATTTGTCTTTTTGAAATCTCCTAGTTTTCTTGTTTGCCTGATAAGAATAGTTTGCAATGCCTTAAAAAAAACTTGTGAATTCACAAGGACAACATGAGTACATGACTGTTAAAAAGTGAAGTGGCTAATGCAACTGCAGTTAGACAACATGGAGAGAAAAAAAAAGGATAAGCGGATCAGAATATAACTAAAAACTCCGCTTCACCTTTGCAGTTGCAGATCCATACAAGCCATAGACATAAGAGCATCAGCAAGCTTGACACAACAGGCAGTACTATTTCCATTATCCTCCATTTGCTCTTTCCGAAATTAATTCCTGGTGAGAATCAGGATTTCAAAATATTTTTTTAAAAGGATTTCAAAATATCTACTATGAGAAAATTTAAACATCAAGAATTTTTATTTATTAACATAATAAACATTTACCATGAAAAATATATTATTCCAATTTCCATCCTCTGGCAATTGCTTGTGGGGGTTCGAATTAAAGTCAAGAGGACACAAATGTTAATTAATAAGTAATATCCACATAGTTTCTTTTGTATGTCTTCATGAGAACAGACCTTGGTTTCAGAATAAACAACTTGATCATGCCTTTTTTTCTCTCTTCCTGCAGGCCATTTAGTGATATGCCCGAAGTGACCAACATCAAGGTAGAGGAGAACATCCAATACAAATTTCACACACCAACTACATTTTATCCTACCTACAACTGGACTGGCAAGCCGGAGATATAAATTCTCACCATTTTCACCAAGCTTTGCTGTGTCAATAAGCTCTCCCATCCATAGCAAGCACTGGGGTGGAAGTAAACTTGTTGAATTGGTGTAAGCATAAGCTGTGCACGAACAGTTCCTACTGCATAACACTGTGCACTCCTCAAAGCTTATACCACTGATGTACACGAACTTATCTGGCAATTTCATGCCAGGCAACAGCAAGAAATGCTCATGATCACCACATCGCAGCTCCTCCTTTCTCGACAGCCTTGTGAGGAGTTACCGGAGACAGGTTCAAATCCATCAAGGCACTTGCATGTATGGACGCCTGTCAAGTCGCAATGACCATATGGGCCACATGAGCCATAGCGACCGCAACCTTGAACAGATAAGATGTACTGTACTGCCCACAGTGAGTGACCAGGGTCCCAGCTCAGAAACTGCACTTTGCCGGAGCTGTCCAGTACAAAGCGCACACTTGTTGAACTGTACGATGTAGAGATCATCAGGTATGAGTAATTCTTATCCCTGATAGGAGCCAAATACAACAAAAAGCTTTTTGAGTAAAGGTCCATTCCACGTTGAGCCTGATCCACGCCAACAGGGATTAAATCCATGCCGCACAAAGAGCTGAGGGTATGGCTTCAAGCCACTACCAAGGGAGAAGTCACCATTGGAAGGGTCATCGGGGCTCTTCCAAGAAATGAAAGGGCTCAACGGCAATATGATCATCACGGAGCAACCAGATTTTCATGCCAGGTAGGAAAGTGTCAGTTGGGCGATCAAAGTTCTCCCACATGATGGTTCCATCGAATGACCGGATGACCAGGTTCCCCGTGTTAAGCAACACCGTCGCGGATGATCTAGTACCTCCACCAGCAATGTTCTTGCTGCTGTTCATCTTCCATAGAGTGCCACCTAATGAATCAGACGCAACTATCTCGCCCTGGTCGGTCAGTGACAGCATCGCGGACGATTGATTCATGATGGGGCTGTTTCGATTGGCAACCCAGACGACGGTGCGGTTGGGGATGTTTATTGTACCAAATGCCAACATACAACCTTGCGCTTTTGAATTTTTTTTCTCCCTTCAATTAAAATTCCGGCAGGTCTTCTGTCGTCGTTCTCCTAAAAAAAACAACCTTGTGCTTGAGTTGCTGCTGCCTAAGGGGAAGAAACCTTGCCAGGAACTCATATGAGCCTCCCCAGCAGGAGGAAATCAAGCCCAATCACTCCCCCTCAATTCTCTGATCCTGAAACAAAAAAAAAAGTCTCAATCTCTACTGCTCACTATGCAGCACGAATGAGGCATACATACAAGAATCAAGAACGGACGCATCGGCTAGTCAGAGAAAAAGGAAAAAAAATCGTTAAAATTTGGTTAGGTGATGTGTAGGGAGGACCAATTAGAGATAAGCAGAGAAGGAGAAAACATTGATGTTCACACTCCACAGCCGGACGAATCTTTTTGTACAAAAAAAAATAAGGGTAAAGTTATCCCAAAAGGAATCATTGCTGCACACACAGAAGTGAGAGGGGGGGGGGACCTTGGAGGTCGGAGTGGTCGGGAATGGTGGTGCGGTGGTGGCCGGCGACCTGAGGGTTGAGGCGGCGAAACCACGCGAGGTCGGCCGCACAGCGGCGGCGGCGGCGGCGGTGGTGGTTGCATTGTTCGAAATGGAGAAGGACGAAACGGAACCGCGGTAAGGCACGGCCATGGTAGTGCTCATCCGGTGGCGCGCGCCCGGGGTGGGGTGGGGTGGAGGGCGGCGCCGCCGCCGGAGCAGCAGCACGGTGACGAAGACGACGAGGCGTTTCGGCCGGCTTGGGTACGGACAGATGTTGGGCCGACCAAATTGTTGTTGGGCTGAGCTGCCTACTATGCCAAATTAGCAGGGCTCGCGACTGCTATTTGGCGCGCGCACAAAAAGTCTACTACAGGTCCCTCCAATTTTTGGTCTAGTTTCATTCGTGTCCCCAACCACAAAAAAAAAAGTATAAAGGGTACTCCAACTTCTAAAACCAAGGTAAATCTAGTTCCACGAGAGTATAGATAGTCAATTTTGGTTGATAAGGTGTCTACGTGAAAAGTTAACCCGGTTTTTATTCGAACGGATGAATGTGGCACTCTAATCTAAAAATATATATATATGGTGGGTCCCACATATCAGTGAGACATGTCATCTTCCGTCTATATCTTCTCACACGGGAGGACGAATGGACAAAGTCAAGGAGCTCACTGGTCGACACGGGCACTTGTGTAGGACCTCGCTGGCCCACACGCTAACATGTCCAAGTATCACGTGCGGAGGCACTAATGTGTCCGTTGACCTCAACGAGAGAGGTTGTTGCGGAAGAAATAGCAACCTAATGGTAGTCGAGCTGCTACAAAGGGCAGCGGCGTGCGATGATGGATCACGGCGACCGAAGCATGGCAGCTCACTCCTCCTTCCATTTAACCTTCACCACTCTAATTCAATCATCGTCGCTACCTCGCTCCTCCTTCGTGAGCTTCATTGCTGCTGCAGCTCGCCTCATGCCTAGGGAGGGCGACGAGGCGATGGAAAAGCAGTGGTGCGCCTGAGGGGAGTGTCACTGTCGACACAGCTCCGTGCATAACCTCTTAGACTGTGGTAGTGGAGACAGAGGAGATCTACAAGTTCGTGCCCCATCGGTCCCGTCCTCTGAGATTGCCACAGATCCACTGTATAACAACCTGTCCTCCAAAATTAAACCGCACTGCCTAACCCATCTGATGAGTGGCCCCACTTACACAGCACAAACTAATATGGTTGAAGCGACAAACTCTTATAAACTCGTTATACCCTGCTAAACTAGCAACACGGTACTAAACATGTGCATACAGCTCTTAAGTTGATTCTACCCTTGCTAAACGCGGTACTAAAGTTGTGCTACTCGTCATTGTATCAACAACAAATCAAGAAAAACTCTTGATTCAGTAATTCAGAAACCAATTGTTTCTTGTCTTTCAATGGAGGGATCATTTTATAGCGCAAAACGCATGCAGGCAGCTGTTGCAGCTACTCTCATCCACTCAGAAAATGTCACTCTGATTTACCACAGCATGAGCAGACGGTTACCGGGAATGCAGATTGCACGATGAAATGCTCCATATATATCCTGATGCTCAGCATTGGGTTGTTGCTAATTAATCTGATCCTGCTTTTTGGACCAAACTTGCATAATCTCATCTGCAGGAGATTCCGTTTTGGGGTTGGGATGGACAGAGATCCCATCTCATGTCAGAGGATAAGTTCTTCAGGATAAGTTGGTTGGTGTGCGTGTGTGTCTGCAGGACAGATCACCATTCACCAACCAAAAGGGCCAGTGGCTAGCAGTAGCAGAAGCAAGCAACAGATCGATGCCTTTCTGACGGAATCGAGATCTGCTGACTTGGTACTAGTACTACTGAATTCATCAGGAATTGATTTTTTTTTCCTTTCTTTTGGTGTAGAAACAATCTTGCTGTGTTTGCAGCCTTGCAGGGGTCACAACAAATGC